GATGACCTAGACACTGCTATGGTAGTCTACATATTTCCATTATGACCAAGACAGTGCTATGGTAGTCTACACATTTCCATTCTGACCTAGACACTGCTATGGTAGTCTACACATTTCCATTATGACCTAGATACTGATATGGTAGTCTACACACTTTTGTGATTGTCTATGAAGTCAAGAAAAATCTGGGACTTTTCCATGAAGAAAAATGGCGTCCAATCTTGTACAGACCAAGCCAAGTGGTTTTCAGCCCAGTTTCTGGATTTCAGTAAAAGCCATAAACCAGGTACTAGGGAACGTTTATGGGTCGATAAAGCAACGCCAGATGCGTTTTGAATTTTCTCAGCGGAGTTTCTGTGCTCTACAGTCAGTAAACGGCTTTTCTTAGGTTTATCGCTCTTTTCATAACACCTGCATTCTATTTCTTTACATTGACATTAACACTTCGATACAACAAATTACACTTTAGCTCAGACCTGAGACCACGTGCTTTCAAAAACACGTGCTATAGCTATAAAGGTATCAAATGAGAGTGTTAGAACACAAAATTTAGGATCAAACCATTTGGTAAAGACTTTTCTATTTAGTAAAAATCCCTCCAATGGAAGGATTTGTAATTCGCGTGAGTAATATTAAATGATGAGTGATCACGAGTGACAACTACTCACTCATCATTTAAATCAAAATCCTACTGTTTCCCATGCTTCTCAAAGGTATGGAAAAAAACATTAATGTTAGATATTTGTTAAGACAATGATTCCTAGAACATTTTGTGTGATATTTACTATAAACATTAATGAATCTATATAAGATAATTCTGATAAATGTTTCAACTTTTGCTCTGTCTTTAATAGGGAAGATAAATGATACAAAATTACGTGTAATATAACTTATCCTTTACAAGTGTTGAATGCAAGAACAAAGTCTTAGAGGCTGATTTCACTTGTTGAATTATGTAACAAATTATTGGTTCAATCAAAGTTACGATGAATTACAGAACCAATTATTGAATTATTGGTTCAATCAAAGTTACGATGAGTTACAGAACCAATTATTGAATTATTGGTTCAATCAAAGTTACGATGAGTTACAGAACCAATTATTGAATTATTGGTTCAATCAAAGTTACGATGAGTTACAGAACCAATTTTGAATTATATAATAATTTATCGGTTAAATCAAAGTTATAGAACCAGTTATTGAATTATGTAACAAATTATTGGTTCAATTAAAGTTACGATGAATTACAGAACCAATTATTGAATTATTGGTTCAATCAAAGTCACGATGAATTACAGAACCAATTATTGAATTATTGGTTCAATCAAAGTTATGATGAGTTACAGAACCAATTTTGGATTATATAATAACTTATCGGTTCAATCAAAGTTACGGTGAATTACAGAACCAATTATTGAATTATTGGTTCAATCAAAGTTACGATGAATTACAGAACCAATTATTGAATTACTGGTTCAATCAAAGTTACGATGAGTTACAGAACCAATTTTGGATTATATAATAACTTATCGGTTAAATCAAAGTTATAGAACCAGTTATTGAATTATGTAACAAATTATTGGTTCAATCAAAGTTACGATGAATTACAGAACCAATTATTGAATTATTGGTTCAATCAAAGTTACAGTGAGCTACAGAACCAGTTATTGAATTATATAATAAATTACTGGTTAAATCAAAGTTACAGTGAGTTACTGAACGTTTTTAAATTAGAATGAACTATTCACTCTATTTGTTTTTTAAAAGTCTGGTAGAATATGTTATTAACCCTTTTTTAGGTGTGTACTTTTCTTCTTTTTTCAGTTATATCACGTTCAAAACCATCGTCAGATAATTCAGATTCAGTGCCAGAATCATCGTCAGCTTTCATAAGTATAATTGTCTCTTCAAGTGTGAAAACACTGGAGAGATTTGATGCCATTTTGGGACAGTTTTCTCATAAAAATTTAACAAGTTTCAAATGCAAATGTTACCTATGTTTTGAATAGCAACTTACGCCACGCCACATTGGATACCAGTCGGCTGCTGAGATCATCACCTGTGTAGATTAAGATTTGTCTTTTGATTTAGTGCGCTCGATTTGCATTTCAAACGGGAAATTCAATTCGCATTATATATGTACTATAGGTTAAGTAATCAGCCACCCATTGCTAGACTTACATAATATATCATTTTGTGGTTTATCAAATAATGTATTAAATAGGGTATTTATGTGAGTACATTTAGTGTAAACTACCACATGAAACATTGGTATATATATATGGACTTTTAAAGCAAGCGTATCCCAATGGAAATGATAAACGTTGTAAATAATGGAATATCATATTATAAACTTTACAACTCATCATTACTTTATTAAAAAATGTATTTTATGTAACAACGCCCTCAAGGGTAACTATCGCTAGGATTACAACTCATCATTACTTTATTAATGAGGAGAGCATAAAAAATGTATTTTATGTGACAACGCCCTCAAGGGTAACTATCGCTAGGATTACAACTCATCATTACTTTATTAATGAGGAGAGCATAAAAAATGTATTTTA